CTGCTGCTGCTGCTGCTTTTTTGCCAGTTCATGTTTCTCTCTTTTCACCCCCCACCAGAGCCGATGCAAGATGAGGCTGTGGAGCCGCAGGAAACGGGGGCGGCTTGGTTGAAGGCAACCAAAATCACGTGAGACCACAGCCTGTGGAGGAGAGGCTCTGCAGCGGGTGAAGAGCTCGCTCTTAGACTGCATGAGCTGCTTGAGACCTCTTGTATGCCCGGCATTAAATGAAAGAGAGGTGTATCTAAGAGAAGCCTTGAGAGAGCAAGGATGGGAATGATATGCTCTCCTCAGGGGAATGCAAGAAGAGCAAGAAGCCACCAGGATGTAGAAGCTGCTTCCCTGTGGCTGCTCTTCCAGGCTGGCTTGAGGACCTCAGTGGTGCAGGGATGCAGTTGGTCCCACTCAGCTTCCCAGCAGTGGGGAACCTGTGGAGGTGGCTGTAGAAAAGAGGGAGTGAGGGGGCTGGGAAGGGAGGGCCCAGCCCTGTAATTTCAGTTCTGGGTTTTGCAAGGGGAGAGCTTTGGAAAGCCAAAGAGATAAATAAGGAAGCGGTGGAGGTAGGATGGGGCCGGAAGGTTTTTTTGTGAAGCTGTAAGTCCTCCATGGGTCCTCTCAGGAGCCCTGGCCCTCTCCTTAAAGGGCATCCTGGGTCACCTGAACTGCTGGGCCAACTAGAGCTGTGCAGGGCATCTGGCTCCTATGGGGCTTTCTGGGCTCAGCAGGGAGGGCAGGTCCCAGCTCCTAACACCCTCCTGGTTACCTCACAGCCAAGGCCATGTGGCTGGAAGGTCCTTCCCCATTGTCCTCACATCCTGTGGAAGCCAATCTTGGAGAAAACCTGTTTCCAGGTGGACACAGCATCTGAGGACCCTGAGAGAGGTAGCCAGGTTTGGGGATCATGTCCCTGCTAAGCAGAACCAGTGCAGCCTTCCTGCAGCCCCTTGGCTCACGCTGAAGATGCTCTAAATCCAGGGTCATTCCCCCCTTTCCCTTTTTCCCTCACCACTGGCCCTGGGAGGTCAGTCCAGCCCCAGCACAAGCCCTCCAGGTCCCACACCCCACTCCCTCACAGCCCTCCAGCACGGGTAATGGAAGAGCCCTTACCTGCTGGTGATGTTGGGGTGGGACAGCTGCTGCCGCATCCGATTGAACTGCCTCTTCATCATCTTGAGAGCTTGGAGGAGACCACGAGAGCTGCTCCGCTCGGTTGTACCTGCTCAGCACCCCTCGGTGACACTTGGCATCAGAGGCTGGCAGCTCCTTGGCTCCCCGGAGCTGCTCTGCCCTTGCTTTTCCCCGAGAACCGTTCCTTCCTTGCTCCCCTCCTTCCTCCTTCCCTCGTTCTCCCTTTTTCTGCTTCCCTGACTGGTCCCCTCCCTCGTCCCTCCCCAGGGATGCCCTCCCTGCTTTCTCTTCCCCTCCCTTGGGCTCCCTTCTCTTGCTCCCTCTCTTTTTCTGTGTTTCCTTCCTCTTCTGCCTGCCCCTCTGCCGCAGAGCAGGTAAGAGCAGCTCAGGGCTCCTGCTCTGCTCTGTGTTCCTGTCACCACCCCACAAGTATAAATAACTTCAGCCCAGCCTCAAAGGGGAAATATTATTACAGCAAACACGTAACAAGGCAGGACAAGCACACGCTGCTGCCGAGCCCGAGTGAAGGGCCCACGCTCTGTTTCTTGCTCTCTGCCTCAGCCAGGGTGGTTTTTCCCTCCTTTTGCCTTGCCTATCACCAGCTGTGCCGCGGGGCAGCCCATGGCCATGCCAGCTGGCTGTGAAGCACATTTGGGATGCCCAACGTACATCCTGCCCTGCCTGGTCACCCAAACTTTGCCAGCACCCCTCAGGCACCTCTCTGTGCCTGTGGGCGCAGCTCCATCCCCTCTCCACTATGACATGTAACCCTTACGGTGACAAATGCAGGAGGGCGAGCAGCAAAGCTACCCCTACAACCCCTTCTGTGCACCCCTGCCCTGCTTTCCCTCCTTGCTGTGTTGCTGAGGCTCTCTGTAGCCCAGTGCAAAGCTGTGGCCAAGAGCTGTTTGGGAGAGGCCCCCTTCCTCCTCCCGCTCCCCCCACCGCTGCCAGGGCTCCGCCGAGCGGGGCAGCTGGGCCAAGCACAGAACAGCAGCACCCATACACCACAAACTCCCAGTTCCCAGGCTCGGGTGGTGCCTGCTCTCCGCAGAGCTGCACCAGGGCTCAGCTTTTTTTTTTTTTCTTTTTTGGTCTAAAAACATCCCCCTCACACCGCCGCCACCTCTGCTCCTGGCTCTCCAAGGTGTAAACCTCGCCTTATCTCTGGCTACCTGCAGCTGGGACTTTCCTCCTTCAGCGCTGAGAGATAGCAGAGGTTGCTGCCGGCCGGGTTGCGCTGCTGGCAAAGGAACCAGCACCCGAGACGGAAGTGGTCAGTTTGCAAGCAGATCAGACAAGCAGCAAAAGAGGCAGAAGGGTCACTGCACCTGTTCTCCAAAGCCTGAGGAGCAATAATTTGGCGGCTGCCATGCTCTGCTCCTTCTTAGTGAAGGGGAAGCCTCCAGCGAGTGCATAGCAGAGCAGTGCTGGACCTGTTTTCAAGCAAGGACTGAGCAAGTGAGCACTGTTCTCGCTGCCTGAACACAGAGTTGCTCTAAACCTGTAGCCATGGGGGTGTTCCTAATGGGCATTGTGGTTGCTGAAAGCAGGAAGGGCTTCAAGTGCCTATTGCTAAGACACAGAAAAACCCTCATCAGACCCTTGCTGTCTGAAGCAGGTGGTGGCCAAGCCGTGGCCTCTGTTCTCCGGTGCAATATCACTGACTTGCTCCCAGCCCCAGGTTGCTGCTTGTGAGAGGAGATCCCCTACGCTTCACCAAAACTACCCTGGGGAGCCCCTTCTGAGAGGCAGCCCTGACGAAGAGGAGGAAGTGCTGCTACCAACAGTGGTGAAGCTGCAAATGGCTGTGTGGGGCACGGGAACAAGCCCAAACCCTGATCCCCGTGGGCTGTGGGGCACCAACCCCTGCCCACCACCTCTGTCCAGGAAGGGAGGGAAGCAGGCAGCAGCCAGTTCACAGCCTGGATGTGATTCTGCTCTCAAACAGGAAATGAGAGCTGGTGGGGGACTTCCACCATCTCCTCTCCCTGCTCATGGAAGTGGGGAAATCATTGTGGCAAGGTCCTGGGTGACTGAGGGAGGAATTAGAGGGTTGCGGGGGCAGGATTTGAGCTGGGTATGAGCCCTCGCAAGGTGAAATCAGCTCCTCCTCAGTCAGGAAAAGCAAGGGAAAACTAATTTCTTGGGTCAAAAGGCAGAAGGACAGGATCAGGAAAGAACTCTTTATTTCCCATAAATACAGCAGATTCTTCGCGCCGGGCGTTTCGTTTTAAATGTTTGTTTTCTTCCATTTACAGAATTTTGCACTGAAAATATATACAAGTCTGTTCAAGAACCAAACAAGATCTGCAAAGAAAAAACCCATACAAAACCCTGAAAAGAGACCAGAAAGGGAAGTAAGACACAGCAGAACCCCAGCATAAAGACCTTGCTTCCCCCTCTCCTCTACCAGCTCCAAGCCACCTTACCTTCGCTGGCCCCAAGTCAAAAGCACAAGGCACCCCCTGCTCACCTCCATCTCGCACCGGCCTCCTACCTCTGGCAAGCCAATGCAGGGCACAGCTTGCCCCTACTTTTAAGATCACGCCCTGTTAAAACCAGTTTAGGGATGAGAAGTAGCTCCTGTGGTCACAGGTCCCATGGGGATGAGGATTGCTCAGGATGTGCCATCCCCTGGTCTCCTCCGTGCCTGCAGATCCCCGCTCTTGTGTCACAGTGATCAGGCGCCTGGGGCGAGCCCCCTCCCCATGGCAGGGAGCTGGGGCAGCCCACAGCTGCGGGTGAAAGTGCGCAAGGCACAGCTGTACATCCTCCCCGTACCCCCCCAGTGCAAAGCTGGGCTCCCAGTGCAGAGCTTAGTGGTGCCCTCTGGTGATGGGCTGGGCTCGTCTCTTCTCGACTCCCAGCCCAGCACCTATGCCATGGTGAGAAGACACTGAAGGGCTGAGAAAGCCCCCTATCCCACACTCTCCAGCCAAGCCAGGCCGAGGAAGACCATGTGCTACTTCCTCTCCTTGTTGGGCAGGAGGCTGTGGGGAGACTCAGCTGTCCCCAGCATACCCCTCTCAGTGCCTGCATGCGGGACAGAGTCCAGCAGCAGTCCCCAAAGCTTGCTGTGGGAGATAAAAGCACGTGGGAAAGGTGTGGGGGCTTCCTCGCTGTGGGGGCTCAATGCCCAGGAGCTCCAGCTGAAGGGGACGGGAAGGCACAGAGCAAGCCCTTCCCAGTACCCAGGGCTCCCCCCCAGGACCCACCTCCCACCAACAGCTCTGTAAGCAGCTGGAAGAAGGGGGACAGGGGAAGATCACCCCCCCAAATAACAGGCAGCTGCCTGCTCTCTGGTGCTGGAGAGATGTCCAGTCTCTGCCCAGCTTTGTTCTGCACCAGCTCCAGTGTGATCCCACCAGACACGGAATCACTGGGGCCCAGCTCCAAGGAGGGGGGGCAAGGGGGACAAGAGGGAGCACCACAGAGCATGAAGCAGCTGAAGGGCTGGGAAGCATGGAGGGGGACCGACAAGGAAAAGGATCTTCCTTTGCTAGGCCTTGCCCCAGGCTGAGGCTGTTAAGCTCCCTCTCCTTGTCCCCCACTGTACCTTGGGGGAAAGCAGGGTTAGAAGAGAAGCTGGACAGACTGGGGAGGGAGCAACACCTTTGGAAGAGCAGGGAAGGCAACTGTTCACCCACTCACAGCTTTCCACTCCACTCCTAGGTCCTGTGGGTTGAACAGCTCCTGGCATCTCTGCTCTCCTCCATAAGGCACGCTCCCTCTGGCCCTTGCCCGGCCATCTGGAGAATAGAGCGTGAGCAGCAGCCCCCCACCCTCCCTCCCCATCTCCTCTGGCTGCTCCAGCCCCACAGGGCTGGCTTCTCAAAATCTCTGCAGTGTAGTGCCTGCAACACACAGCCCTAGAGGTTTCCCCAGGACTCAGGCAGGGGGAACTGGTCCACATCCCCCATTTCATTGTAGGTTTGCTCTCCCATGGTGAAGGTCAGCTTGTACCGTAGCCTCACTTTCTCCTGGAGACAGGGGAGAAAGGATAAGCAATCAGGTGGGGAAGAAAGTCATGAGGCACAAACCCTTCAAGGTCTCTAGGAAGCTGCAGAGAGCGGAGGGAACAGGGACAGGGTAATAGGGCTTTGCCCAGGCAGCAAGACCAGCCTGCTCATGCCCCAGGGACAGTGCAGTTACCTTCTGTGGGTTAGCAAGCAGCAGGACTTGTGTGATGGCACTGGGGTGGACAATGGGGTTGAACGCTGGCAGCTCCGTGCCTGAGGGAGGCTGTAGCTTCACCTTCATCACCTAGGGAGAGACAAGAGCAGCCCACATTCCTGAGGGGACTTGGCAGCCAGAGACCCAGCTCCTGTATTTGGGGGGCTTCCACTGTCTAGTCAAAGAGAAATACATTGTGCTGGTTGCTGCTAATCTGAAGGCAACACAACTCACTCTTGGCCCCACAGAGCTCTCTCCACTCGCCCTGCCTTTCCTGCAATGGGAGACTCACACTTCATCCCAGCAGCCAGCTTACCTTGGGGACGGCAGACTGAAAGACGATGTTGCGGATGGGCTGCGGGGCCGTGCTAAGCATAGAAATCACCACCACCAGCACATCGGGCCTCTCGGGCAGGGAATCCTTAGCAAAGTGGAAGAGGACACGGAAGCCGTGCTGATCATACACAGTCACAGGGAGGATGCTGCCTGTGGGAATAGCAGGGACAGGCAGCAGTCAGCCAGGAGGGCACTGGCCCTGCAGCGACCTTTCATCACCAGAACTCCATGGTTTGTTCCCCCCCAAGCTTGCCCCACTCTTTCACCCAGACTCACTGGGTTTGATTGACTCCAGAGGCACAGTGATGTTGGCCAGCGAGATCTCCTGGGGCAGCGTGGTGGCAGGAGGCCGTGGTGGGACTGCAGTACTTCCTCCTGCTGATGTGGTGACAGCTTTTGGAAGTGCAGCAGGAGCAGGCAGCTCTGAGGTCAGGGGCAGCGTGGGGTTGGGGGAAATGCTCTGGAGCACAGGCAGAGCACTGGGATTGTGGGCTGTGGTGCCAGAGCTGCTCCTGTTCTGGAGATCCCTCAGGGTGAGCCGGGGGGGTGGCTGCTGCTTCTCCCTGTAGGGAGAGAGCGAGCGAGCAAGGAGTGGAACAGGCCACTGAAATGTCATGTCCAGCATCCCAGAAATGGAAAGGACAGGGAGAGATGCAAGATTTGACCTTCCCCTGCTTACCATCGCACTTGCTGGGACTCTGGAGGCAGTGACTGTTGCAGCAGAGTCTTGCCCAGGAGGTCCAGGTCATCCCAGCCACTGGTAAGAGGAGAAGGGTTGGGGGAGGATGCGCCAGCATCTGCTTTGACTGGTGGTGTTGCCATGATAGGGGCAATACCGAGCTCGTTGCTATCTGATGACTGTAGAAAGAGTGCACAGGAGAGCCCCCCAAACAGGGTTGCAGATCAGCACCAACCACAAGACCTGGGATGCTTCCCTGCCTACTCTATTCTACCTCCCCACCTTCTGCCCCGGCTCCCAGCACATTACCTGGAAGCTGTTCCAGCCACTGCTGTCAGCAGCCTGAGCAGGATGCGGTGCTGGGTCATTCAGGCCTGTGAGGGTAAAAGCAGACGTGAAGAAGCTTAGCTACCAAGCGGGTAAGAGCATTAAACGAGACCTGAACAAGGCACCTGTTACCAAGATCCCTCTGGTCAGACAAGATGCAGGAGCAGCAGGGCAGAACCACCAATATGGTCTCAAACCCTTGCCCTCAACCTTGCATAGAGGAGCACAGGGAGGGTAACAGTATTTTTTCCTGCCCAGAGATCCTAATTTACACTCTAATTTCTACCACAATTGGCAGAGAAGTGAATACTACTGGACTGACAAGTCCCACCTGCACCTGCGGGACCACATCGTCTACTTCATGCTGTTGTACTCAAAGCACCTATCTTAGGAAACAGACATTTGCTGGGAAAAGCAGGACCCTAGAGCCTTCCAGGACTGGCACTTCACAAGATTTCCATGTGCACAGTTCTGGAAGTCTCATGTGTCTGCTGCCAGCTATGACTTCAACTGCAAGGAGTAAATATGAGGCGCCTTGCAATCACATCTGGGGATGGCCATTGCATCACTCTTGATTTACCTGCCAGGTCAGTTTTCCCAGAGCAAATCAGAGGGCACATCACTGCAGGCTCTCTGACTAGTCAGGAAAACACCATGGGACTCAAGTTCAGAATCACAGCAGGGTCTTTTCCTCCTTCTCCCTCACACTAAATGAAGGCCACCTCTTGGTCTTTCATTATTCGTCTCTCCCAGAGCTTTCCCTTACTCATGCTCCTGCCACAAAGAGAACCATCCACGCAGACCATCCAGACTCAAGGAGAGAATAAAGAGCTTTTGCTCTGGCCTTCTCACCCAAAGACATGAGTTCATCATCCAGCAAGGAGACAGAGCCAGCTTGGTCAGTCACAGGGACTGCTGAACCACCTGAAAGAGTGGGCAAGGCTGGGTAGGAAGGGCCTGTTGCTGGAAGGTCCAGGCCTGACAGATCCAGAAGCGCTGAGGAGCTGCCTGCAAAGAAGGAACATGTTGAGAAACAAACTTTATGCAGTACTAATCCAGTGTGCTGAAGCACATTCCCATCTCTCCTCACACCTGGAGAGGGAACTCCCCCTCTGCTCTCTCTCCCAATTCCTTCTCTTCATGCATCAGTCATCTCCACAAGCCATTTCCTCATCTCACCAGCCCCACTCTGACCTCCTGCAGGTTTCATCTTCTCTTACATTGCAGGAAACCACTGACAGGGTCCCCCTGCTTGACCTTCCTGTCCCCATTCCTTAAGTCTCCTCACCTCGAAGGGGACCGGCCACTGTCTCCCCATTGATCTCTTCTCCCCGCACAAGCTGTTTGTAGAGATTGATCACCTGTGTCAGATTGTCATTGGCTTGCAGGATCTCCGCTGAAATGGAATAGGTGGGAAGTAAGTTTCAGAATGTGAAGAGTGACTTTTATGCCCCAACTCTGTCTATTCCTTCAAAGCAAAGCCCAGGGAGCTGACAGCAGCCCACTGCAGACAGCGTTTTTCCAATTGTTGCTGCAAACAGCATCCTGGTACACTGACACCTCCCTGGCTGTCTCAGCAGGACAAGCACAAGCATTGTTCCCACAGCAAAGCAGAGGACACCTGTAACACTGCTGATAGCTGCCACATGCCCCCGCTTAGCGTCAAGCCATAAACTCACTAACTTACAGCAAGCAGCCACCCCAAATAAGAGTGGTGGCTGCTGATAGGTGCCATACCACAAGCAGCCCAAGCACAAGTTCCCTGAAAGAAGATGAAGGGAGAAGGGGACAGAATGGGAAAGGCCAGAAACACTTACCCAGAGCTTCATCATTGTCTTCTGTGTCACTGGCGAGACGGAAAAGCATGGGTCTCATGCGCTCACAGCGCTGATACAGCTCCTGGGGGAGAGGAGAAAGGGGCACTGAGGTGAGCAGCAGGATGCTCAGCTGGGGATGCAAAACAGGTAGAAGGAACCTGAGGGCATAAGGGTCACCCATCTCTGCTAAGCCCAGGGAGGACGCTAGGCTGGGATGGTCTTTCCTCACCTTCATTAGGTCCTCATTGCTCTCTGTTGTCTCCCCCCTGCTGTAGTTTGTCACCATCTCTGTCAGCAGCTTCACGTTGTTGTTCACCTCCTCGATGGCATTCACCCTTTTAGAGATCTTCTCCATGCGCTTCTGATCCTGGAGAGGAAGAACACAGAGAAGGATGTCCTTGCTCTTGTCAGCAGCTTGGAGAGGAGGAAGGCTGGGCCAGCCAACACAGAAATGCTCTGGGCTAAGGCACAGCTGCCCTCAGGAGCTCCCCACTCCAGTGGAAAACTTCAGATCACCTCTGGGCCAATGCTTGCCACACAGGGGTGGAATTGCCACAGATCTAGCACTGCAGCAGGGCTTGGGCCACAGAAAGTGCCCAAAGCCATTCCCCCAAGTAGCCAAGGGATGGCAAAAATCACACAAAGACTCTTCAGCAGCTGCTGCTGCAAACTTCTGGGCAGAAGCTCCATAGGTCTGCATGAGGACAGAGACAAACTGCTCTCTTGGTGCCAACCACTGCCACCCAGAACATGACTCCCCAGCTCCCCTTCTCCCCAGCTGCACCTCCTGAACCATCTCCTTGATGAGCTTGTTGGCAGCCCGGAGATCCTCGGGATGGGAACTTTTCAGCAGACGAGCCAGTATCTGCAAAAGAGAAGGTACCTCTGAGCCCAAACTGAAGGGTGGCAGCCAGCATCACTCTTGCAACACCAGAGCCAGTGGAGTCACCCCTGCCCCAAACCCGTATCTGGCAGAAGCAGCAGGCGCCACCAGCCATTTGAAAGCCCAGCCATGGGAGCTTGTTGGCTACCAGAGACTAAGGAGAGAAGTACTACAACTGGTCTTTTTTCCTGTTGTGGTTCTGGTTGTGCAAGATGCATCTTTCCCTGAAGATTGCCTGCATTCCAAACCTGCCCGTCTGCTCAATATGCACCCTGAAGACCCTGGAGCACAGCAGCACGAGTACCCAGAGAGAGAGAAAGCCTAGTTCAACGTGGGGAATTGCTATGGGATTGCAATGGACTCCTGCTCAGATCTCTTCACATGCCACAGGTGCAACTGGTGAAGAGGGAGAGCTCCTACTTTCCCCTTCTGTGGTCAAAGAACAGTCCCACTAGCCACCTAAATATCCTCATTTACACGCTGTGACCCATGGAGGTAAAATACCTCCTCTGCAGCAAACTGGCATCACACTTCTGCTGCAAAACTAGACCCAAAGGAGCCTAATACTTGCTTAAACATATCAGCACTGATAAAGTAGAGGTTTGCCTGAGCGGTGACACAATTCTGATGGAAAGGCAATACAGGAGGGGTCCAGGAGGCTATAAGTAGTTGGCTAATAAGCAGATTGCAGTGCTAGGGGTGGAGAAGAGACAACAGCAGTAGTATCTGGGGCTAAGATTTAAACCTCATGGCCAGATAACTCAGAAGCTTGGAAATGGCACAGCAGAAAATCTCCCAGAATCCACTGGGCTAATGTCAGTGCTTCACCCTTTGAACCATCCTGCAGCTAAGGGCTCCAAAGGTCAAACAGACCCACATTCCGCACCTCTGGCCCTTTCCTTTGTCACAATTGCGGAGAGGGCCCTCAGCATTCTTGTGATGCATTTTCTGAAGGACAGCACGTGGAGCAGGGGCCTTGACTCTTTCTGGATCTCCACCCCAAGAGGACAGGAGATCCTGGAGCAGGGAAGATGATGTTTGCTACCCTTCTCCTTGGACTGAGCCCTTACCTTGGATTTCTCTTCATCATCAAAGATGATGTTCTTGGGCCGAGGTGGAGGAGGTGGAAAAGGAGCATCGTCAGGCAGTTTTGGGTCACATTTCACGATCCCTGCAGCAGAGACCAATGGAGAGGTCAGGAGAACTCACTCACTGGGGGATGGCACTGCCACCTAGGTAATTTCTTCACTTATGGACCACCAAACCCAGCTGAGACTGAGCGGGTTTGGGTCTGTTCCCACCACCCATCATCCTGGACTGTGTTTTCATGGAAGAACTGCCCCCCACTCCCCATAATACCCTCTCTTAGAAAAACGCAGCATCAACTGCCAAAACACTTGCAGCCCTTCAGCCCCAGCCCCTTCCAGTGCCATCTCCTGTAGGGAGCAGGCAGATGTCCCCTCCAAGCCATCAAGCAACTCAGACCACCAGCAACTCTCTGTGCCCAGCTAGGAGCCCCAAGGCACCTGCTCCTTCACCAGACTGGTGGATGTGCTGGGTCTGGGCACAGGAGTCTTTTTTCAGATCCTGCCTGGATGAAAACGGAGGAAGGACAAACCATCTGTCCACCTCTCTCTTTCAGCACACTGCCTCTCACCTTGTTTCTTAAGCATCTGGTAGGCCTCTGAGATCTTCACCTCGTGAGGCAGCCCTAATGTCCAGCTGTACATCAGCTCCAGGATCTTCGACTTCACTTTTTCTGGTGTCCGGCTGCCAAGATACTAGAGGAAGAGAGAAGAGGTGACTTGAAGCTGATCTGAGCCGTTGCAAGCATGGTCTGTTCCTCTCCTCCCCTCCCCCAGGAGAAGTGAGACCGTTCCCAACAGCACAAGGAGGGGGAAAGAGGAAGCAAGCAGGAAAGCTCATGAGGCCCTTGCAACACGTCCTATGCTGTGCCTGGTTTCCACCACAGGAAATGCAAGAGGTGGGAGAAATGCTGCAGCATCAGCACCTCAATGACACTCAGGGACAGGTCGGAAGGCTCATGTGGGTCTCTGTTGCCTTGTGGAGGAAAGGGTGCTGCTTACAGAAGCTGCTCAGCAAGGCAGCCCTTCAGGAACGAGCAGACAGCCCGGCTGGGAGGGGAAGGACTGTGGGCAAGGGTCTGTGGGGTAGGGCCCAGCCCTTTCTCTCAGGGACACACTTTAGAGCTCGGTGTGCCCCATGACCAGCACCCAATGGTGAGATGTCCAAATATTTCAGTTTCCCCCCTGCCATACAATCATCTGTCACCCTTCTCCCATGGGTCTGCTGGGCACCAGTGGTAGAAACAGTGCATCTGCCACCAGAGGCCAGCAGCTTAAGGCAGAGAACATTCTCTAGGGCACCTAGCAAGAGGACTTTGGGGTGCTGCTGTCACTGTCTCTGGCTATTCATCGTCACTGATCACAAGCTGTGACTGGCAGTTGAAGGTTTTCCTTAGTCATAATTAGTTTGTGTTCCCTTAACTCTATCCTTGCTGATGTCAACTGCCTTGACTGAGTAGGAGAGCGCACACAGTTTGTCCTGCTGCAAAAACAGCAGCCTCAGCAGAGGAGCAGGTAATGACTTGGTGCTTCAGATGGACTTGCCAGAGCACCACTGACCAGGCCTGGGCTTGCCCTCTGAGAATGTCTCAACCAGACTGGGACACCTCAGAGAGAAATGGTCACGATGTCAAAGCTGAGGGAGGTTCCTGAGCACGTGCAGCACAGACAGAGCCCAACAGAGATGCAGGGAAGGTGACTCCAGGCACATACATGAGCTCAGCAGTCTCACAGGCACTGATTACATCATGTCTAGCTGGCTCTCAGTTACCTGCATCAAGAATCAGCCTGGAGCAGAGGGGTGAAAGCTCACCTTCCCACTGGAAAAAAATCACTAGGGAATGAGGACTAAATGTCCCACTAGCACTGTCCTGTTTCCCCCACATCCCAGCAGGTGTCTGACCTTTCTGCTCAGCCATCACTCCTTCCCAAAGCCCTCCTGCCACCAGGCTCCAGTCCCCTCCAGCACAGTGTCCTGAGACCCACCTTGGGTGACACCACTTTGATGAGTTCATTGAGGAAGCGGAACTTGCCCACCTCGTCATGGAAGCGCTTGCCACAGCTCTTCATGCAGGACTCCAGCACCTGGGAAGAGGGGGCCAGATAAGCTCCGGCATGGGGTCAGCAGGAGGTTTAGGAGCCAGCTCCCTCCTGCTCCCACCCCACCTGGCACAGGGCCTGTAACTATCCTAACAGCAGCATGGAGGGACACCACCTTTCCCTCCCAAGTGGCCAATCGCTCTTCCAAGAGGAAGCAAGAAGATTTTTGTCTTCCCATTGGGAACAAAAAGCTTCCCATTGACTTCAGTAGGATAGGATCTTTCCTAGGAAAAATATCTTTCCTACCAGACACCCCTGCTCTCCTGTGACACCACCTTCAGCCCCATTCCCACCCAAGGGCTCAGGCATTCCAGGGCTTTCCCAGAGGAAGTTCAAAGCTTGCCATGCTCCTCCACTCAAACCTGAGCAACCCCACATCCTGGCTCTCCATCTAGTTCTACCAGTGTGCAGATGCCCTTACCGTGAGGGCCTGGATAGCTTCCCATTCCTGCGGAGACTGGATCTTGTGGGCAAGAAGCCGGGTAGCAAGTGGAGGACTGGAAGGAGCGAGGCGAAAAACAAAGCTAACTGGTTACTGATGCAAAAACCTGGTACCTGTGTTTCTATCTAGGAATCCAGAGTTGAAAACCACATTGCAAGTTTAAGGCACTGATAAGGCACTAAAACCCTGTGGGAATCTTCTGTTAGTGGACTGGATCCCCCCCACCCAACCCCAGTTTGAGGGGCTTTGTGCCTACTCAGCTCTCAGGACAACCCCACTGAGTATTGCCAGGTGGGCAATCACAACCCAGTCTCAGGACCTGGCACAGCCTGGGGCAGGCAGACGCACTCACCCCTCTAGCTCCTTATTGAGCTGCTCGCAGAAAGCATTGATGCCATCCCAGTCCAGGTCCTTGTTCAGGGGGTTTGTCGCTTTGTCTGTGGGTGGGAGAACGGGACAGTGAGAAAGGCAAATCCCTTCCCACCGATTCCTCCTATATGCATCCACAGAGGATGGCGTGGAAGGAAAAACACCCTCGTGTC